ATCCATTTTTCGATCCATTCTTATGGCCGTACTCTACAAGCATTCCCCAATCTAAGGTGGTCCATTCAGGTTCAGTCTTAATCACAATGGCGTATGCAAACAAAAGGGAAGAGCTCTACCTCGTGTAGAATCTCACTTCGGTCGAGCCATGTTATCTACCGAAACATTCAACCCAATATGAGACAACCCCGAGGACCCCTGCAAAATACAAACAAAAGGGAAGAGCTCTACCTCCTGTCGAAACACTTCAGTCGAGCCATGTTATTTACCGAAACATTCGACTGCAATCGAGACAACCTTGAGGACCCCTGCAAAATGTTCTCTACTCCTCTTGAAGTTACTAGCTAGCTACTATCTGATTGTTATGTAGCGATTTGTACCGTGTCGTGCCCAGTGGTCCTTAAGATCCACTGGTACCGAGAGATCGTGACCTGCTGCAGCTAGACGACTAAGCAGCTTCGTGAAAACACTTCCACTCATTTTCCGCCCGCCCATTCGGACATGGCGTTTATTCGGCATATGTGGAAGCGGATACATGGACATATGGGTGGTACAACACGATGATTGCCAACCTCCATTCCCCCATTTGTAGCACTGCCTTGCAAGTCCAGTACACGAGCAAACTGGTGCTGGCATAGAAGAGTCATCGAAACTAACCAGGTTCAAACCGACATCCTGACCATCCCAGTCCGTTCTGTATTTCGTGCCATCGGTAGCAGCCTGTCTATTCAAATCTTCGCCAACTTTCTTCCTCGGCAGCTTCGATGTCTTTGATGAAACTGCCTTGTTATCCTTTGTTGTTCGGTTTCCCTGTCGAGACTTAACAGCTTCAGAAGCTATAACTGTAATTGGAAAGGCATCAGTTATATGCACGTCTTTTGTACCATAGGGACTTTCACACATGCTTGGCATATGATTAGATAAATGGTGCAATCGCTTCGTTTTGCGTTGAATCCCATTGCCAAGAGGAAAGTTCGAAGCATTGTCACGAATTTCAAGGGCTGCAAGGGCATTGTCCCGTTCCATTAATGCCGAATCACGCTGTGCAATCGCCTCATCACGCTGTCGAAGAGCCTCGTCGCGTGCAGCCAATGCACCTTTCTTCTCAGATAGTGCTAAATTTCGCTCCCGAATAGCAGCATCTCTCTCGGCTATAATAGACATGATCTTCTTATTCATGACCAAGGCGTTCGGTTCCTTTACATGATGAGGGGGCGCCATATGCCACTGCATACATCGTTTCCAATTCATTCGATTTTCGAAAGAACATCTTAATTGAATGCATTAAAAATAAACAGGCAAATTACCGGCGAGGGGCTCCCTCTGAAGTAGTCTAGCTTGTGCCTCCCATTTTCATGATGCCGGCCATCATCCATAGTCTCAGAAAATAATGACACCAAGGTGAATGGATTCAGAATGCTCCAAATGCTTTCACCATCAACTAATCTTTCTCATAATCATCTATTCTGATTTAAACATAAATTGATCGCATCAGCACGAATCAGACAACAGGAAGATCGAAACTAAGTGAAATGAAACCTCAACAACTAAGAACGAGTAGTAAATCGACGTCACAAACATTTTCTTTTATAGGTAAAGTCACAAACCTTTTAAAGAAAAATTAAACCTATACTAATAATGTAACCGCTTAAGCCCACTGCTAGCAGATATTGTCCGCTTTGGCCTGTTACGTATCGCCATCCGCCTCATAGTTTTAAAACGTGTATGATAGAGAGAGGTTTCCACACCCTTATAATAAATGCTTCATTCCCCTCTCCAACAGATGTGGGATCTCACAATCCACCCTCTTGGAGACCTAGCGTCCTCGCTGGCACACTGCTCGGTGTCTAGATCTGATACCATTTGTAACAGCCCAAGCCCACCGCTAGTAGATATTATCTATTATGGCCCGTTACGTATCGCCGTCAGTTTCACGGTTATAAAACGCGCCTGCTAGGGAGAGGTTTCTGCACCTTTGTAAGGAATGCTTCGTTCCCCTCTCCAACAAATGTGGGATCTCACAATCCACCCCCTTGGGGGCCTAGCGTTCTTGCTAGCACACTGCCTGGAGTTTGGCTCTGATACCATTTGTAACGGCCCAAGCCCACTACTAGCAAATACTGTCTTCTTTGGCCCGTTACGTATCGCCGTCAGACTCACGGTTATAAAACACGCCTGCTAGGGAGAGGTTTCCACACCCTCATAAGGAATGCTTCGTTCCCCTCTCCAACCGACGTGGGGATCTGGCAGATAAACCCATACCAAAGGGAGACTATAGTTTGGACAATGTGCAGACAAATGATAAAACTACTGTAAACACATAAAGAAGATCGGACTCGTCCCACACCACGATGAATTCGTTAAGCTACATCAACTGAAATAATTAAAAACGATACTCTCTTTACATTGACAATTTTAGGATCATAAGTTCTGGATAACAGGAAGTTACAGCATGCTCACATCTGGCATTCCATGGGGGCTCAATTTAAACATTTCAGCGCAAAACAAAAGCCTACAATGGCATGGTTTTCCAAATAAGGAACAAAATTAAAATATGAAATATGAGAAGAACATTCAATTATATCTTTACAAATACATGTATAACGATACGTACAAACAATTTCATCAGAGCTCTGAGCATAAGACTTACAACACAAGCTAAACTGGAAATAGTGTCATACGTTACTCACTCAGCTTCTGCTTAAAAATCCACCAAAAAAAAAGTGCGTATAGTGTAATGAAATTGACACGAACACTCGCACATCAGTATTTATCGCCATTTGCTTCGCAGTAAACTCACAAAGACAGCAAAATTTACATCAAACAAGTCATACGAATCCTAATGTGTCGTTAAACAACAGTATCGAATGTTCAAAACGGAAGTTTGTTCAAAGGAAAGAAGAGAAACCGTACCGGAATCAAACAGCAGCGGAAGCAGCTCGATCAACTCCTGATGGAAAGAGAACGAAGAAAACCTAACAGCTGAAAGAAAATCAAATGAAGTAACGGCATCAATGGGAGAAAACTAGGCACATGAACTAGAAAAACGAATGTTCGTAAGGTAGGAGTGACAGAAGGCTAGGGTTTCGGAGGAGAAACTTGAAAACGGAGAAAAACAACTGAGCAGGAGAGGAATCAGGAAGTGGAAATAGAAGAACGGAATACTTACAGATGCAATGGCGAGTGGAAATGGAGAAGAAAATGGCGATCGGACGGCGATTTGCAGAATGAAGAAGAAATTGCTGTTCTTGTGATTGACACGGTCGGAGAAGAGAGAACAGAAAGGGAAGTGGTGAAGGAATGGTGGGTGGCTTCGTTCTCATCCGAAACGACCCCGTTGCCTTCAAACGGCGTCGTTTTACAATTTTTTTAAATCCTTTTTTAACTGAAAAATCTAAAACGCGCCTTTTCTTTGACGTTTTAAAGTTCGTTTTTAAAATGGTCCAAAACTAATATAAAAATTTATGGTAAATTAATAAAAATACACACAAAATTTAACATTATCTTAAAAAAAAATACTCTTACAATTAATTTTAAATGATAATCGTTAATATTTATTCTTAAAAATACCTTTAAATTTTTAATATATTTAAAAAATATTCTTAAATTTTTTAAAGTTTCATTAATACTTCCAATAAAAAAAAACGCTTTCATTCCCTATATTTAAAAAATGCTATAGAATTTTAAAGTAGTATTAGCACAATTTACTTATATAAAAAAAGTAAAAAAAAAAATTATAACCATCCCTATATGGACAAAAATCATCTATCCACTTATAGATTACCTCAAAGAGTTGGTGATGAGCCAGTCGAAAATCAAAGCTTATCAGAAATTTGGTCTAAAATTATTGAAAAATTAACTTTTTATGATTACATCGAGAGTAATCCAGCAAAAAGGTGGATTATTCAAAGCGGGTTGGATAACCCATAGACACGTAGGGATGGAATAGTTGTTGGATGGTTAGGACACCCTGTTTTTAGAGATAAAGAAGGACGTGAACTTTTTTGTACGCTGCCATATACCGATTTTTTTTTAAACATTTCCAGTTGTTGTAGTAGACGACGACGGAACTGTTTGCCATATACCGATCTTTTTTGAAACATTTCCAGTTGTTGTAGTAGACGACGACGGAACTGTTTGCCATATACCGATCTTTTTTGA